TCACCTGACTACTGCTCACCGCGGCAGTGTTCTTTTACAAGGAGCGTATATTCTTCTCATGTCAAATCTACCGTCTCCGTCTTTCCAGGGTCCACTGATGATCAGCGCATCGTCCGTTATTGACGCGCCCATAGACAAAGTATGGCAGATCCTCGTCGACTTCACGTCCTATGCCGAATGGTACGTCCGAGTCCCACACGTTCACATAAGGGCATGCTCATACTGAGGCGTGTATCAACTCTCAGGAACACCTTCGTGTACGGTGTGCATGTCCCTGCGTAGACAGTGTACACCGCTAGCTGACACACGGGAGCAACAGACACAAACAGATAATCGTGGACAGTTCTTCTAAGGAGCCGTTGCCCGACCAGACACCGCACGAGGGATCGTACCTTCTCATGGAGGTGCACATACCACCGACGTCCGACCGGTCCCACACACCGACGTCGCGCCCGCTCGAATTAATCACCACGGTCGACCCGGCAGCGCATCGCGTGGCGTGGAAGAACCTGATGCCATCGTGGTTACTGCGCGCGGAGCGGTGGCAGGCGCTGAGTGTCGTTGAGGACGGGAAGACACTGTACGAGACGCGGGAGGTCATGGCGGGTCCCGGTGCATATTTTGTGCGCGCACTCCTTTCTAGCTGGCTGCAGCAGGGGATCCAGGCGGTCGCCGATGGACTGAAGCGCCAAGCGGAGCAGTCTTAGTGATTCGAGTCATGTCTTCCTATCGCTCGGTGTGAGCATCCCGAGCCTTGCTCTGTGTTGGGCTGATGCTGATGCTGACACAGAGGTTATTGATGTCATAGTGAAGTACTATGCATGCTACGGTCGATATGAGTGACTCTGTAATTTGGATACCTGCCCTATTCTTATTCCACACTTGAACACAAAAGTGTTCGCACTCTGAAGAGATCACGCCACTGCCAATTTCAGACGGCACAGAATGAAGAAGCAAAACAAAGACTACCGCGACCACCGTTGTGCCCCACGAATGCGTTCATCCACGACGACGATCTTATGGCTCATCGCGTCGAGCCGAAGACGGATGACAGCAAGGACCTCACCAATGAATGGTCTCGCCACGCATACCTCCGTGTGTCAGGCTGATGGAATTTGCATACATGAAGGCATAAAACGTCGATGTTGTGCAGTATCGGCGGAGGCAGACGAGCTGCAGTGGAGCATCAGTTAATAAGTTAGTACATGCATGTATAGGCGTGTGAGTCTTCTTCAGTGGCTTGATCGCTCGGTGGTGGCACGTCAGTCCGGTTTGTGGTACAGTAACTCGGGAAGCAATCACGGCCTCCTTTGGAAGCAGAAGATCACTAGCCAACGTCATCGTAAACCAAGATATGTAGTGAATATGTACGGATGACTTGGGTCTTATGTGGGTCCAAGGGTGATCATATATTACGAGGCAAAGATGCGGTTCGTAGATACCTAGCTCAACTTCACTCTGCGGTGGAAGTGTGGCGTGTGACTTGTGCCAACCTTCCACGTGATGGACGCGTCTGTGGCTCCTCCACGCGGGCGCCGGAGATCATCTTGCATCTGTGCCACTTGTCTGCATTCATCTGACCTTGCTGTCACCGCCACCATTGGAGTAAACACGCGTCTGTAATTTGAGCCTATTGAGCCACCGTAATTTAGTCAGTGACCACGCACCTGAACGAAGGCACGGTCGACAGGTGCAAGCACCGGGCGGCTAACCAACTTCACAGCACTGAAGCATTGTCTCCTCCAAGGCGGGGACGAACCACGTTCCTCACTTGTGTGTAGAACAATATCTTCCTTTGTTCCTTCAGCCACATTGCTGACGGCTCCTGTCCTCGTGTTTCGCAGCTCACGGAAATTAGATACAGTGTCGAAGGTGACCATCCTGATCACATCTCCTGGTCATATAAAATGCAGCAAGATACATCGTTCGAGGACCACAAACCAACATGGAGGGTGAGCCATCCTCTGATGCCTCCAGGGCCAACACACCTGCTAACCGGGGCGAAACGCCGGTCCGCACCAAGGCTGTCCAAAGCGCGTCTTACATGGAAGGCAACCTCGATGCAGCTCGCGGAGCTGTGATGCAAGATCTTGGAACGACCATACCGGAGGTCTCGACCAGATTCTTCCAGACGCACCTCCTTCCTCCGCTTCCCGCAGATATTAACGTCAAACAAGTAGTCAACAAACTCCGCAAAGGCAAAGGCAAAGCCATAAAAGGGAACCGTTGGGCAAAATTCCCGAAGGATCCCAAAAATTCTACCGAGTGCGAGGATGGCTGCTTTAAATCTCTCGAAGATGTAGCAACAGCTATCGAGGCGGTAACAAGTGCAATGACAGGCAAGAAACAGCTGCTCAAATTTGTTCAGAACCCAGGCGACGCGCCCGAATCCAGTATGAGGACGTCGAAAAGTCGCCCGGATGGATGCTTCATGCTCAAGTCACAGCATAAGCGTAGCTTGCGATGGATGGATATCGCGCTTTCCGCTGAATACAAGAAGGTGGAGACCCTTGCAACTAAGGATGATGTAAGCATATCCGATTTCGCTCCTGAATACTTGGCTGATAGCTGTGGCAGGATGTTCGAAAGGTTATCTGGAGCATGCATCATTGCATGCGGGAGGATGCGAGACGCCGGTTCACTTATGGGCTCACAGTTGAAAATAGGACGATGCGGATGTGGTTCTGCAGCCGCACAGAGCTGCTTGTGAGTGAACCAATTGATTTTATGTTGGTGAGTTGTGTCTCCATCGTATTCTTCGTGTCTCGGACTCACTGTAATCTGTATAGGAGCACCATAAGGTCGTTCATTTCTTCGTCGCGATGATGTATGCGGCTGAACATGAAGCGGGATGGGATCCCACGATTCAATATGTCTGGAAAAACGACAAGAAGAACGACGAGCTTGTGTTGGACGAAGAAGACAACCCCCGCCTCGACATCGATGTCCAAGATGGGAATGGAAAGGTCGTACGATATCGGACGACGAAATGGTTATCAGACGATGGCGCAAATGGTCTGCGAGGCAGGGGTACGCGCGTCTGGGAGGTGTGTATACTCGACAAGGGCGGGGAAGGCGTCGATCGCTTTGCTCTCAAAGATCAGTGGATCGATCACGACCGACTACGAGAAGGCATGATTATCGAGGAGCTCCGGAATGCAGAAGCATCTGATGCGACAAAACGCATCATACACCAATCGTTACTCACTGTGGAACATCACGGAGATGTCTACGTGGAGGGCATGCTCGATCATACCCGCAATCTCATGACACGCAACGGCCGGCCGCACCCCTATACCCGCTTCAGACTTCAAGAGCTCCCGGAGGACGGAGTCAAAAAGACCACTACAACCAAGTCGAAACAACGAAGACCGGCAGGCGTGGGCCACTACCAGTCCCCAGAGGAGCTGACGGCGCCGTCCATAGAAAACATTGAGACGTACCATCCAAAGGTTCACTACCGTATCGTGTTCAAGGAGGTATGCAAGCCGCTTCCTGAATACACCTCGCTCAAGGATATCTTTGATATTCTCATGAATGCTGCACTTGGTAAGTTCGTGACGTGTTGTCGCATTTGGCGTTAGGACTCATTGTTGATTGTACAGCACTGTTGGCCTTGCATGAGCTTGGATGGGTGCATCGCGACATCAGCATGGGAAACCTCCTCGGTTTCATTCTGAATGGAGTGCTGTATTGCAAGTTGTCAGATCTCGAATACGCAAAGCCGATGGATGATTGTTTGGGCCACGAAATCCGGACTGTGAGTATCAAATAACGTCCATAGTTCTCATTTCTGATTCCCACATCCTAATGACAGGGCACCAGATCGTTCATGTCAGTCGAAGTCTATGATCTGAAGTACAGATTTACCTCGTCAAGCTCACAGGAAGAAAAGGCACAAGTAGCCAAGCCGACTCCAATGACAGCTGATCAGTGTCAAGTCGCCCTGGACCGGATCAATGCGGCACAATATGACACTCCTGAGAACATTGATGAGCCCGAGGAGACCTCCAGTGAGAGTACCACCATGAGGCCATTCCGGTACAATCCCCTCCATGATATTGAATCCCTTTGGTGGGTGGCGATATACTTTATCTTCAACAGATCGGTGGTAAAGGTTGCTGGTAAACCTCCATCCATGGAAGCGTCGCAGCGGGGAAGCTACAATGCTCAGAAGAAGTACACTGACAAGTTGCTCACGTCGTCGCACGAGAGACTTGCGGTTATGTTGGACAACCCTGCCCTGAAGACGGAAATTATCCACTTACATGTCGCAATGCGGGGGGTTGCCAACGAGCTCAACAAGACCAGGGGAGAACTCGTTGAGTGTTATCGGAAGGCGGAGAAGGATCTAGATGCAATCCACCACAGAATCGGCCATCAGCTCCTCAATGATGTCTTCATAAAGAGCTTCATAGAAGTTCGTGACAATCTCCGGCGAAAGGATATCCAGATCGACATCCTGCGCAACGATCCACGACAAGAGGTCGAGAATCTCCCAATTGCCGAAGGTCGGGGCGGTGCGATCGACAACAATAATGGTACCGATACGGAACAAGTCCCAGACGCAGCTGGCCAGGGACCCCGCTTTGAAGGTCTAGCTCGAGAAGTGAAGACTGGCGACACGGCCGAAGAGATGACTGCCTGGGACGGCGCGCAAGACGTGATTGCCGAAGACTCTGATGCTGGACGATCCGTGGATAAGGCTACCGGTCCATCCGTCCCCCAAATCTCGACAGAGCCCCTTGTCGAAGGACGCTCTACTCGTCCGCAGCGCAAGCGTGCTCCTCCCGTCCGATATATGGGGACAGAATACAATTTGAAGAAGGGCATGACGAGCAAGACCGCATCATCGTCATCAGCTCCGGCTGCAGCATCAAAGACTGCGACCGGCCAATCGACCTCAGGGACTATGTCTAGCACTAAGAATAAGGCAAAGTCAAAGGCAAAGTCGAAGGCAAAGTCAAAGACGAAGTAGGTGCAGCCTATGTGTCGAGGTACGGAACGGGCCTTCTGTTCTAACTTGCGGCTTGGCATCGAGACTCTGGATGTTTGATACGTTTCATACGTAGAGATTGGGTCTATTTATAACTTTGGACGCTGTCGGTTGTACTAGTGTATTTGCTCGATCTTGTTGCTCACGATTGTTCCATGACTGCTACTAGTGTTCCCCATATATAAATACTGTCCCATCACGTTATCAAGTGCACTTCTCTGAGAGCTCATCAGTGTTCAACCCGTTGATCAAGGCACACAAGTGACAAGGGGTGCGTCACTTTTGAGTGTGCCCTCCGAGTCTGTATCCGACGGTGATTGGACAGAGGCATCCAAGCAAAAGATGAGTCCGTTCCCCAAGCCGTGATTGATAAATTCTACAATCCAGGAGCCGCCCCATGTAAGTAGGGCAAATGGCGGGAAGTCCTTATTGTTTTACAGCTTTTCACCGCGAATTCGATAACCCGAGGCCGCCTTCTATCTGGTGCTTCTGCTGCAGCAACGCGCCCTTGGGCTTGATGCTCGTGATCACGTCCGCCATCCTGTATATCGGCTGTAAGATCGGCCGTGGTTCGTTCGGCCGTGCGAGCTAGAACTTGTGCAGTGATCGGCATCCTGCACGATGGTGCATTCTACGAGTCTGTACTGCAGACCGCAGATAATGCGAAGACTCATCATAGTACCAGTATTTCATGAGCTCATCGTTTCAAAAACTTGTCGGCTTGTAGGTGCCACCAATCGAGCCTAAGGAGCGCCTTCGAGCTTGCTTTGCTGAGATGGTACCGAGAATGCTAGACGTTCTTGCTTTTCGCCAGAGCCTTCCAGGCCACGACCGATCACTTTCAAGCTCATCGTGATCGCGTCGCAAAGGACAGTGTGCAGGTCCGCCACTGCGAGAACGTGTAGTCAGCTCATGCATCGAATAATGGGACTCCTGCCTGGCTGTGCATAGCCGACGGCAGGACGACATAGACTCGCGCATAGCCTAAATCATGCATGCCGTCGATGGATGCCGAACTCAAAGGGAACTATAGCAAGCAGCTACAGTATGCATCACGGTTGTTCTGGACACAGCAGTTCAGAGAATGGGCGATGACAAGACCGGGGGATTTCAAAGACGAAGTGTTTCACCTTCACGCAGTCGTACGGCCAGCCGGTTATCTTCTCGACACGATGAGATACCGATTGCAAAATCAATACAGAAGCATCGAAGAGACACTCACCCCCATCACTCACATGGTCGCATCCGATATCACCATACAGATGATAGAGGACTTAGGAGACATTCGGGCAGACGTTAAAGGGCTTACAATCGGCGAATTCAAGGACGACCCGCGGCGAAATTACCTTGCGATCAGGAATGCCGACATCTCCCTTCAGCGGGACCATATTAGTCCTCCTCTTACGAAGACAGAAGGGAAACGGGCTATGATTGAAGAGGCAATGTCGAAATTGAAGTCTAAGCTCAGGCCGAAGTTGGGGTCGAAGCGGAAGCCGAAGAGGAAATAAATGTAATTGAACTTGAAGACGTTGTGCTTCTTGGGGGAGGGATTTCTGTCTCACTTTTGACGATTCCTTGTCATTCATGGACGCTGTTGGATTATGCGAAAATAGATAATGTCATCCGATTACGCGATCCGGTCATTTCACCTACATCAGCAAAAAGGTACGAAGCAAATAAGGTCCCGTGACCCATGCAAACCCGCACGTCACGGTCGGCGCATCATTAGCCCTTGCAAGACATTCCATGGCGTCACTAGAATGCTGGGGTATTGTTTGACATCGAGCTGCTGTCTGAATATTATAAGGAACTACCAGTCTGGTAATACCTATAGAAGCACTCACAATAAGATGGCGAGCCTGTTGTTCGGCATCCGAGGACTGGGAAGATCGGACCATTCGCGTGAGGTCCTTCCAAGATACTTGCGGCCCTTTGGATGGTCGTAACAGAATCTTCGATCCAGGCGAGCACATACATAGGCAGATCATCAAGGCAGATGGCCCGGGAGCGAGACTCGAGGTAGAGATATATCGAGAAGTCGCAAATGATAGGAATACAAGGCACAATGAACCATAATTGAAATGACGAGGTAAGAAAGAATACAAAAATTGATAGTTTCATAATGATGCGTATCCTTCGACTGTGCAGGGATCATCACCACCATCGTCTTCCCCATCTTCAGGACCCAAAGCATCTTCGTCGTCAGTCCCAATCTCACCCCCATCATCTATGTCTTCGGCATCATTGTCAATATATCCGTAGTCTGCTTCCTCGGCCTGTATATTATTGGGACCCTCCTGGCACAGCATCCCCACGGTCAGCGTGTTTGGAGGATTTCCGAGTACTACCTCCGAGTGGCGCACATCAGCGTACTCTTGATCTCTACCCCGGGCCGGGCGCAAAGCATCAGGAATCGAGGGCTTGTCTGTCGGATGACCCTCCAGGTTATCTTGCATGTCTTCATGACTTTCCTGCAGTAGGCGTTCAGTGACTTCAGCGATTGCCATGTGACCGATACCACCGCCGCGGAAGCGCATGAACATGTCGCAATCAGCAAAGCTATACATGTGTTCCGCATCAGGTTCGTAGTATGTCATCTGTAGATAGATTTGTTCGCTTACATATTAACATAATAATATACCCAATCCTCATCACATTCTCGAGGATGCCTTGCGATTGAGGGCCGCAGGTACTCATCCGTGCGTCCATGTGCAAACGCGGGTATAGTGTGAATTGCTCGAACAACGTGACGAGGATCAAGAAAGGCGAATGCACCGGGTTCGTCAGCATCAATAAATCCAATTCGCGGTAAGCGACGCGCATTCCATCCTGTTCGAGTTGTTAAATCACGGCCGAACCATCGTATGAAGAGGAATTCAATATGCTGAGGTGACGGGTCGCGTGACCTGAGACCCGAGTGGCAGATGTTCGCATGGAAGACCCCAAGAACACGGGCGTACCAATAGGGGTGATCGCTGTCTTCATGAGCGAGGACCATGATGTCGGGAGCCTCACTGCGCGGATTGACACAGTCCTGGCTGCGACGCAAGTCATAGGTCGTATAGTTAATGCGAAAATGCTTATGCTTGTATATCTTCCCGCCAATAATGGTGACAGTATTGCTCTCTGCATCGGAGAATGTATGCTCCTCGCCATCATAAGGAAGGTCTAGCAGGCGAGAGAGGTGATCTTTAAGCTGCGGCATGAAATCCTGGACACAATGATGAAATATGACGAAATGAGGTGTTGGTTGGCACTAGTAGCAAACATTAGAACAATGACCAAGTTTTCGAAAGAGTTGCAGTCAGTCAGAAACCCAAAGGATGGGAGCGTAAATTAAGAAACCAGTTGCGCCTCAACGATCGAGACCATGATTACCAATCGGCCGGTCTCGATCAGTAAGACGCCACTCACCTCGCCTCGGATCTTACGCTCTAGCACCTTTCTGAAGCACATAAAAATGCTGATCGTCTCTACTGGCAGCCAACCCGCTCAAACCCCCTCCAATGTCACATTCAGTACATACACCTACTGTCATGGCTCCTACGGCTGCCAGTAATTTGCCGCTAACCTACACCCCTGAACCTGTCAGTTCTGCGAAGCGGAAGTTCGACCAACCTAAATGAAGAGCTGCAGATCTACAGTCATTCAAGAAAAAGGCGACGATATTCTCGGTGAGTGGTCAGAATGTGAGGGTGTGTAAGGCTCACAGAAACCTTTGTCAATTCTAGAGAGCAAAGTGGGGTGCTCGATGCATTGTACAAGACTGCGAAATGGATCCCACGTGGAATTAGTCCCTTTGTCAATATTCTAACTGCCTTCCAAATCGGTCTGCATGCTGAGGGACAATCCGACGCTGATACAAGCGAAGTTGGAGCGGGAAATGGGCCAGAGTCGATGACTGAACAAGAAGAGAATATGCAACTGTGAGATTCCGTTTTTAGTCAGTATTTTGCGCTAGCTGACTTATTAGACAGGTCGCCAGCAGAGCGATCCGAGTTCATACGTGTCTACAATGCGATATTAAACTATACTCCTAGCCTGCGAGAATTAATCTCGGAGTTTCAGAGCGAGCCAGCAAGTCTGGGTGACCTCTGTGCACTTGTAAGTATATTTGAAGGCTGTTTTTCATGCTTCCTGAATCGATCTACAGCTTGACGAGCACTCGCGAAAGGCACGCACACAGGACTGTGGAGACCTACGCTACTCCGGAGTAAGGTATATCACCCCCGACCCAGCGCGACAACCTATCTTTCCTGTGATTGACGGGAGGCAGCAGTCGAAGAGTGAGCGGGGCTTCCAGCACCAGCAATGTTCCCGTCTTCTAGTTCCTCAACGTCACCTTGCTGACTTCGATGCCGATCCCGAAGGGTGTGTGATATTTATTGTGCGTCATCATTGACTAATTGTGTGAGTTTCTGCAGCTATCTCAGGAAAATAATTGAGGGCAGGGTGAAGATACGAGCGTCCATGCTGCCGAGTTTTGTTTATGATGAGAAGAGCTACGACCCGCACAACATTCTCAAAGGCCTGTTTCGAGGCTTCTTTCTGGTGCGCGTGAGTGTTCTTGTCTTGATGCGCTGCTTCTATCTCTCACAATGCTCTATTTGACAGGTATTCCGACACATATTCACGGGCCCTCGCACGGCACTCAAAGTCACTGACGGGCCCATTGCCGGGAAGCCCTGGAATGCGCAGATCCTTGGAATGCTTAGTGTAACAAAGTATAGTATAGCATACGCTGCAGTTCAGGTGCGAATAATCTGATTTTCATGCTGCCAGATATTCTTCTCATGAACATAAAGGCTCGTCAGCTTTTGAACTCCCAGGAGGAATGGTCGGTTGAAGATGCACACTTCAACGCGGAACATTTCTTCTACACGATTTTGGCCATCTTCGATGACGCAGCCCACTCCACATGGTACGAGGAAACCATTGACTGGTGGAACAGGTACGTAGTGGTCTCTAGCATATCCTCCCACAAACTGATACATCATTCCCTTAACTTCTCGCCATCGACACCTCTAACTAGACGAGTTTTTGGCAACTCCTACACTGGATCTGATCGCTTGACACACGACGATGATTCGGATGACGAGGAGTCAGATCTCTCGCTTCTCAAGGCTCAGCACGCCGCACGTCAGGCAGTTCAATAATGTGGACGTGCGCCACTCCATTGTCATCGACGCAGCCTTTTCGTGCACCTGGTCAGGCCACCATTCATTTGCGACTATATGCTTCTCGTGCCATTTGATTTATTATGCAGAATAAACAATAAACTGTAATTTTATAATTAAAATGAAAATGCATAATACTATTTTGCGATTCGATCATCTGCGGGTGACTGGTCTGTCACGGAAGCGAACCAATACCACCGTGGATTGATTGGTTTTTTGGTCGCAAGGCATACAGTCTTTAGTCGGTCTAGCAATACCTAACAAGAACTGCGATCACAGTAGACCCATACAACAGTCACCATAATACCATAGCATGCATGACATGGCGTAGGCTGCTAGCCTCGCCAGCCTTGCATGCTCTCGATAGTCATATGGGCCTAGCTACCTATTTTGGCTCTTACATCACCCCGCTGATTTATCATCATGGCAATACAAGACTGTAAAACAATAGCGGTCTCTCGTAAGCTGGCCGGACCTTACAAGGCCATACGAGTACATGCATGGCCATACATAATGCGTTCCTTTTTGCTGATGTACCGCATCTGTCAATTCAAGGTTGCACACCGGTCCACACAATTAGAAACAGCCCTCCCTCGCCGTGGATTGTTTCGAACATCCGACCACTGACTTTGGGTCATAAACAGACCCTATGAAAAATGCATCCAGCAAATTATATCGTGTTTTCTTAGCTAGCCAGCCTCAGTGAACTTTGAGGTTGATGCGCGCTCGAAATGTGCTCGAAGTGGTGATTATGTCATGCAAGCATCCCTGAAGGGTCTGCTAGCATACACTCGAAGCAATAATACATTTATACTATTTCTCAATGACCACCCGATGAAATGTCAAACCACCGGTGAGGCTATGCATTTGATATCAAGGGTAGCTACGGGGGGCGCCCCACTTAGACTTCTATAAATGGTTCTTAGACCTGACTAATCGGCGACGGTCGCCGGTTCTCACGCGCGTTGGCCCACTGGCGCTCGCCCGAGAGGACACCCGAGCGAGATGGGACGTGTGGTACGGGATGCGAAGTACTACATGTAGTATTTTTAATATATAGGAATTATTTGGAGGCTTTGAATAGTCCAACAAGCGTAATATTTGATGAAGGGGGTGAGCTGTTCTTGAATGTGTGGACAGGAGTGCACTCTACTCATGACAGAATTGTGCGGCAGGCGGGACAGGATCTCCGGCGGTGAGGGACCGGATCACTGACCGGGGCGGACCAAAACGAGTGCCGGGGCGGGCATCGGGGCGGTTTGGCACGGGCAGGAAGCTTATCTGATTTGACCGGTTTGCGATCTCAAATGACATTATCTATTCACGCTTGGATTATTTCAACGTCCGTGACTTACGATCTCAAGTGCGCTTGGATCTAGGATGTTGTCCCGGGTTTATGTATTGGACCTTCTGACGCCCATTCAGAGATGAACGTTGCTGACTAAGACGATCGATCTATACCTGTGATAGTCTGCGTGGATTTGGGGACGCCTAAAACGGAAATCGCGCTTGCCTGCAGCACCCGCTGCGGTAGACTTGGACGCCTCTTAACTCGAAGCCTAGGCTGTGCCATTAATCTTGCGACCGTGTTCTGCCCGTGATATACATGTGCGAGGTGGCGGTCTATGTCTGAGATTCCCTTGCATAGTCTCGGACGAGCCAGGAAGTCACGCGCCGGATACATCCCTCTCCAGAACGGCGAGCTTAGCAGCGAAAGCGAGCAAGGCGGGGAAGATATGTCGATGAGCTCAAGGGCAGCTGCAGCCTCTTCCAGGAGAAAGGGGAAACGTAGAGAGAGGTACGACGACTCAGAGCATCCAGAGGAACATGCTACTCTACTTGGAGACGATACAGCGGAGAATGAGTTCCGAGATGAGGAGGCGGAGGCGGAGAGGATCCCCTTGGGTCCCGAGCGTTCATCAAAGGTACGTGCTCGTGCGTCCTGCTAGTCAACCATCTGAACACGTAGCGGGTGAAGCGTTCATCTTTGGTGCGGAGGCTCAAGTCATCTAGCCAAGACAAATCGCGCACTGTGCCCTTCCGTCCGCCAGGTATCGCCTCCTTCTGTGTGTTATTTAATTGTGACGTCAATTAAGCCATTGCTCCAGACAAGCTACGCAACAAGTTCTCTCCTAACATCGTCCGCAACCAAAAGTACAATGCGTTCACATTCCTCCCAATCGTATTCTACGAACAGTTCAAGTTCTTCTTCAACCTATATTTCCTCCTAGTCGCACTCTCACAGTTCATTCCCGCTTTGAAGATTGGTACGCACATTCCCTGTGCGTGTATTTACGACAGTAACCTGGCTTGCAGGCTTCATCGCCACGTACATCGCGCCGCTTGCATTTGTACTCTGCGTGACCATGGGCAAAGAGGCGTACGACGATTATAAACGCAATTTGCGTGATCGCGAAGCAAATTCTGCGCGATATCTAATCCTCGAAGCCACTCCCTCATCGTCTAGCTCACAAAGAGACGAGGCGGACAGACCGCATACGCGATCCGTGCCCTCATCTGCGCTGCGTGTCGGCGACCTCGTGCTACTCGAGAAGAACCAACGCGTGCCCGCCGACCTGGTCTTGCTGCGCACGTCTGACCACTCTGGCACGTGCTTCATTCGTACTGACCAGCTCGACGGTGAGACGGATTGGAAGCTGCGAGTCGCAGTGCCCGTGTGTCAGAAGCTCGTAAACGACGCAGAGCTGCTAAATCTTGACGCCGAGATATATGGTAAGTACGTCACGCGTGTCAGCAATGTAGCTATTGAATGATTTTACTGAGTTTAGCGGATGCACCAACGAAAGACATTCATACCTTCATCGGTACTTTCACCATCAACTCTCCGCCAATGACATCCGAGAATGACGTGCCTATGGTGCCTGTGCCAACTGTCGAGCCGTTAACAGCGGAGAATGTACTTTGGGCAAATACGGTTTTGGCCGCAGGATCGGCCATCGGCTTCGTCGTCTATACTGGTTTAGAAACGCGAGCAGTCATGAACACAAGCCATCCGGAGACAAAGGTTGGTCTTCTGGATTTGGAGATCAACAGACTGGCGAAGGTGGGTGTTTCTATTCGTGAATGTGGTCCCGTAATGAATGTTCTCCAGATCCTCTGCGCGGTCACATTTGCGTTATCCTTCGTACTTGTTGCTCTTAACGGCTTCCGGGGACTTTGGTATATCTACATTTTTAGGTTCTTGATTCTGTTTTCCTCCATTATACCCATCAGGTGCGTCCTCTTGATTGTTTGGTAAGTGATATGCAATTTAATCGTAGTGCAGTCTACGTGTGAATCTGGACATGGGCAAGACTGTCTATGCACAGCAAATCATGACTGACAGAGAGATACCCAACACGATCGTGCGGACGAGCACCCTGCCCGAGGAGCTCGGGCGGATAGAGTATCTGCTAAGTGATAAGACTGGCACACTGACACAGAACGGTACGCTGCTATAGGTTGTATGCCAGATTAGTAACGCTGAGCCCTACTATCAGAGATGGAGATGAAGAAGCTCCACATGGGCACCGTGTCTTACGGATTTGATTCCATGGACGAGGTGGCGCATCAGCTTGCCATGGCTTTCGGTACGAGCGCGGAGCAAGGTGAGCAGCGTAGGTTGGGCAGTGAAGTTCGAGACTGAGCGTGTGCGCCTTTGTACAGCTCACATGAGGAGAGGGTCCACCACGACGGGAGCGCAGCTTGCCACGAGAGGTCGCAGGGACATGTCCTCGCGCGTGCATGACGTTGTTATTAGTCTTGCACTGTGTCATAACGTAGGTGAAAGTGATTCTCATTCATGTCATCCTCCAACGTCGACTGCTTCTTCAGGTCACTCCGGTCACGAACGACGACGGTACTGTGACCTACCAGGCCTCTTCTCCCGACGAAGTCGCGATCGTGAAATGGACAGAATCGGTCGGACTCACGCTGACATTCCGTGACCGCACGCGTATCGAGTTGCAGACGCCCTCAGGCGTGCGAATCACGTTTGACGTCCTCGATATCTTTCCGTTCACATCCGAGTCGAAACGTATGGGCATCATTGTGCGTGATGCGCAGTCCGGCGAGATCACGTTCCTGCAGAAGGGTGCTGATGTTGTGATGGCGCGCATCGTGCAACGCAACGACTGGCTGGAAGAGGAGTGTGCCAACATGGCGCGAGAGGGTCTGCGTACATTGGTCGTCGGGAGAAGGCGGCTAACAGAACAGGCCTACTCGATCTTCAAAGAGCGCCATCACCAAGCAAGCATTCGGCTGGAAGGCAGGAACGAGGCGATGACAGCAGTGGTTGCAGACATCCTCGAACGAGACCTTGAGTTGTTGGGCCTGACTGGTGTCGAAGACAAGTTACAGGACGATGTCAAGTCGACTCTGGAGCTGTTGCGCAATGCCGGCATCAAGATCTGGATGTTGACAGGAGACAAGATCGAGACCGCCACATGTATTGCCATCTCCACGAAGCTCGTCGCAAGAAATCAATATATTCATCAAGTCGCGAAATGTAAGCTTCCCATACTCGATTCGGAAAGGCAGCTTACTGATTGGATTCTCAGTGAAGACTTCAGATGAAGTACGAGATCAGCTTGAATTCCTGCAGAACAAGCTCGATTGCTGTCTGGTCATCGACGGCGAGTCGTTGCAGGTGTGCAGTTACACCCATCGTACACGTTCAGACGAGCTGACATCTCTGACAGCTCTGCTTGAATTTGTTTAAGAATGAGTTTGTCGAGATTGCAACCAAACTCTCTGCTGTCGTAGCGTGTCGGTGTTCGCCTACGCAGAAAGCGGATGTCGCGCGCTTGATTCGGAAACATACCAGAAAGCGCGTATGCTGTATCGGCGATGGAGGAAACGATGTCAGCATGATACAGGCGGCAGACGTCGGTAAGTCAGTGCATCTTACCCATAGTGTTTACACTCACAAGGACTCAGGTGTCGGTATCGTCGGAAAGGAGGGAAAGCAGGCGTCATTAGCTGCAGACTTCTCAGTCACGCAGTTCAGCCATCTCACCAAGCTCCTTCTATGGCACGGTCGCAATTCATATCGTCGTTCAGCCAAACTGGCGCAATTTGTCATCCATCGCGGTCTCATCATTTCCGTGATGCAAGCTGTCTTCTCTGCCATTTTCTACTTTGCGCCGATCGCATTGTACCAAGGATGGCTCATGGTCGGATATGCTACGGTATACACTATGGCGCCTGTCTTCTCGCTGGTACTCGACCGAGACGTCAACGAGGATCTCGCGCTGCTCTATCCCGAGCTATATAAGGAACTGACAAAGGTTGATTTTTTAAGCTTAATGTGTCGATACTTCCTCTTCTGACACCGGCCTCTAGGGCCGAGTTCTCTCATTCAAGACGTTCTTCATGTGGCTTATGATCAGTGTCTATCAAGGTAGGCAAATCGACGATCACCCGCTGCTCCCTTCTCTGAAAAGGTGCAGGCGCTGCCATTATGATCATGTCCTTGGTGCTGTTTGAGAACGAGTTCTTGAACATCGTGTCCATCTCCTTCACGGCTCTGATTCTCAATGAGCTGATCATGGTCGCGCTCGAGATCACAACATGGTATGACTTGTCTCTCGTCGAGGCGGACAGCTGCTGATTGCTCCATAGGCATATATACATGATCATTTCCGAGGTCGCCACGCTGTTCTTCTATGTCATCAGCATTGCATTCCTCCCTGAGTACTTTGGTGCGTCACTCGGTGCTTGCACCACCAGTAGTTTCTGGCTTCAAGGGGGGCTGATGCCTATGTCATAGACCTGACATTCGTGGTATCGGTACGGTTTGCGTGGAAGGTCGCTGTGATCGTAGCCGTAAGCGCGTTCCCTCTGTACATTATCAAGGTCATCCGTAGTCGAGTCGCGCCGGCAGCATCTAGCAAATTATTGTAATTTATGCTGTTCACACCTAGTTTCAACATTTCACAATGCATTCAGTGTCGTCAGTGGCATGCTAGTCAGAATAAAACAATTGCAGGTATGTGCGAGTGAGACGAAAACAAACAGCGTCAAGATGCAAATAGCGAAGACAGCTCAGCCGCCGCTGTGCGGTGGAGGTGAGGGATTATGTGCTGTTGCGAAGCCGGGAAAGAAACCGGGCGAATGATGCCATTCGGGGTTGGGAGTGCCCCACATGGGATTTGGTGGGCCGATGGGCACACGCGGCGAGCCAAACCCAGGCGCACCCCATGGCGAACGCATATCAGGCCCGTTGCTGCGCGGGCTGCCCCAGACAGGACCGACAGGTGCGACACGGCGTCCTGTTGGCTGAACTACCTCGTCGTCCTCCGCCGCGAGCGCGGATGAGCCGAGAACCTTTGGGCTCGGTGAACGGCGGCTGGGCGACGTCGAGCCTGATCCGGACGCGTCCCCGCCTGGACGCGCGATGGGCGCGACAGGACGCGTAATCGGACCAGGGTCCACGCCGCTGCGCGCGCTTGGACTCGGCGCGATATGCGTCGGCGAGCCATGCGCGGCCTGCGCGTTGGCGCGCGCCGGCGGACCAATCGGCGCAGGTAGCGTTGACGGCGTCGGAGGTGCGATGGGCGTGATGGGCGTCGGGGGCGCGATCGGGGCGGGAGGTTGCATCGGGCGGCCGAAGCTGGGCTCGTAGGGCGTGCCACCGAAACCACGCGGGATGGCCGATGGCGCGAGTGACGCGGGCTGCATCGAGGGCCCTGGTGCCATGTTCATGTAAGGTCCCGGCGTAAGCGGCACACGCGGCGAGAGTACAGGCGGGGGCAGTACACCGTTTGGCTGCGCGAGATACGGCGTTGTTGGCGGAGGCAGATGGTTGGACATTTGCAGCGGGGCCGGCGCGGGGGTCGGCGGGCTCGTCACGACCGTCATGCGCGGCTGCGGCGGGCGCGACGACTGGATCACAATGGGCGCCGGGCCGAGTGCCGGAGCAGGGGCAGGCTTGTTGAGAATCTTCTTAGGCTGCGCGGCGTTGTTGGGGGAGCGCTGCGAGGGGCCGACGGGAGCACCGTTGCGGGGCGACGTCGGCGCGCGGGCACTGCGTGAGGACGATGCGCGTTGCTCGCGCGCAGCCTTCTCCCGCGCCTCCCGCTCGACCTTGTCGCGTTCAGCCTTCTCCTTCTCAGCCTTGTCGCGTTCCTCACGCTCCTTCGCGGCCCTCTTCTCGCGTTCCTCGCGCTCGCGCTCCTCGCGTTCACGCTTGACCGCGGCAGCAGCAGCACGCTCGGCAGCGAGCTTGGCCTCGCGCTCCTCCCGCACCTTGCGCTCGCGCTCCTCCTTCTCGCGGCGCTCGGCCCTCACCTTCTCCTCGCGTTCCCTGCGCTTGCGTTCGCGCTCGGCCTCGCGCTCCTTCTCCTCGGCTAGGCGTTTCCGCCGCTCCTCTTCTTTGCGCAGCCGCTCCTCTTCTTGCGCCTTGCGCTGGACCTCCCGGCGTGCACGTTCCTCCTCCCGCTTTTTGCGCTGCTCCTCCTCAAGCGCGACCTGCTTTGCCTTGATCGCAGCCTCCTCTGCAGCCTTCTCCGCAGCCCGTGCGGCGCGCTCTTCCTCCTTCGCCAGCTTCTTCTGCCTATGATGAACGGACCGCTCAGCACAGTCGTGTGACGCGTGAGTATGGGCGCTTACCGCTCCTTTTCCTTCTTCTTGTGGTTCTGCGTCTGCTTCTTGACCTCCTTTTCCTTGTTGATCTTGTCCTCATCCTCGAGTTCCCGTAAGAGCTGCAATTGCCTCTCTTGTGCGACCTTCTCCCGGTATGCCTGGAGGACCCGCTGCTCGAACATCCGCGCGGCAAAGATGGAGAACATCCGCTTGCCCTCCTCCATCTTCTGCTCCTCCGTCATGGCCTTGAGCATCAATATCATCAGTCAGGCAAGACACGAGCATGACTATATGCGCGAGACAACGCACCTCCTCTTCCTCATCTTCGTCGTCCTCATCATCCTCATCCTCATCCTCGTCACCTTCATCGTCCTCGTCATCCTCACTGTCATCCTCGACGTCTGCAGCGGCCTCCTCCTCGCGCTGCATCCGCCGTTCCGCGAGCTGCTCCATCATCTCGAGGAACTTCTGCCCGTCGTTCTTGAGCAGATCGTCGGCGACAGTGAGGATGTTACCTGCACCTGCAAAGATGAGATGAAACGCTGCGACGCGCGGGGCAACGCGAGGGTCACTCGCCTGCAACGGTGAGGTTGGTGCCGAAGCCACCAAGACCGTCCCGTCCGTTTGCCTTGGTGCCATTCGCTGTTGCTCGCCGGCGACTAGGCATCCTCCGATCGGGCTGCGGCTTGACGTCCTCGTCGTCTTCGCCATCCGCGTCGTCTTCCTCATCCTCCTCGTCTTCCTCCTCCTCGTCCTCCTCGTAGTCCTCCTCTTCCTCATACTCCTCCTCTTCGGCGTCGTCCTCGTCAAACTCGCTCTCGGGAGGCTTGACGGGTTTGCGACCATTAGTCATGACGGCGCCTTTTGCGCGGGGAGCAGCATGAGGGGGGGCGAGGGGGTTGATGACGGCGCCGTTCTTATCGAGCTCGACGCTGCCTGGGAAGGGCCCAGGACCCTGGGGAGGAGGGAGGGTGCCGCCGGAGGAGATGTAGCGCTGCTGGTAATTCGCGTACTGTTCTAGCTCCTCGTAATAAGCATCGTACAGTACCTCGAGCTCTTCCTCTATTGCATTCCTGTCTCAATGCACGCGGTAACGGACGCAGAGGCGGCGGGCGTGGGCATGGGGCGGAGAAGGGCGGGCGCGGGATGAGTAAAAATTTTCGAGCGAGAGGGAGGAACACACACCGCTTGCGACCACAGACTGCACAGGAGCACGAGTGCTTCTGCTGCTCCTTCATCTTCTTGAGGACGGCCTCCTTCTCGATTTTGACAAGGTTGCGGCGCTCGTCCTCGCCGAGGCCGAGCCAGAACTCCTTGATGCGCTCGCGCTCCTCGGTGGTGCTGGTGCTCCATATCTTGTTGTTTTTGGCGACTGGAGGGTTGGAGGAGCCGTTCGCTGGCGGACGAGGCTTGTGGGGTGCGGAGGCATTGGAGGATGGGGGCGATGGGTGGTGATGGGCGTGATTGTGCGGGTATGCGTGGGAGGGTGCGGGGGCCTTGGAGGCTGCGCGACGCGAGGACGGGGGCGGGTTGGCGGCGGGAGCGGCGGGCGGGTACGCCATGGGCTGCTTGCCCGCCGCACGCGACGACGGGGGCGGGTTGGCAGCGGGCGTCGGGCGCGGGGCAGGCATTCCGTTGCAGGTGCAGGTGTCAGAGCCCTCCGGAGCAACAGCGCCCTCTTCTGCCGCGCCCCGCTTTCCCACGCCCGCCGTCACCGGCCGGCCCCTGCCTTCGTCCTCCGCCTCCGGCCCGCCCTCCGTCCGTCCCCCCCGCTTCTTCTTCTTCTTGTGCTTCTTCTTTCCCGGCGACTCCTCCGTCCCCGCCGCGCCCGCCCCGGCCCCCGGGAGCAGCCCCCCGTCGTAGCTGAGCGTGAAGCGCGCCTCCGCCCGGTAGTCCATCTCGCTCTCCAGCTCCTCCAGCTCGTCCTCGCTGTAGTACTCCTCGTCCCCGTACTCCGCCGCACGCCCGTACTCGTCCAGCAGCACCACGTTCGCCCCCGCCGCGCCCAGCCCGTTCGCCGCCGCCGCCTGTTCCATCGCCATCCCGAACGCCGCGTCCGTGAACATCCCTGCCTCGAACGGCACCGTCCCCGCTGCCGTATACGTCCCGGTGTACGCCCCCGCCGCCGCGCCCATCCCCACGCCTGCCGCGCCGTTCAGCTGGTGCGCGATCGCGTACCGCGCCTGCGCCTTTGCGCTCTCGTCACCCAGCGAGCTCAGATGCAGGTACGTGTTCGTTAAAAAGTGCCGGATGCCCTCCGGGAACGACCCCACCCGACCCTCGTCCAGCAGCCCGCCGCCGTCCCCCGCGTGTATGCTCCGGCTCAGCTGGCTCACCGTCGCCGCCAGCTCCGCCTCACTCATCATCGGCGCGTGCGGCGGCAAGTGCGGGGGCTCCGGCGACAGGCCTGCCCGCGCGTGATCCTCGTAGTGCGCCGTGTCGTCCTCCTCCGCATAGTACTGCTCCGCCGCAGTCATGTCCACTGCCTTGCCCTTTCCCTTCTTTTTCTTCTTCTTCTTCCCGCCTGTGGCAGCGTTCACTGTGGCCGGCGTGGGCGGTGGGGGCGCGGGGGCGGGTTTTCCTTGCAGTCTTTTTCCTTTTGACGATGCTGAGACCATGGGCCAGTCTGACGTGCGTATATGTTGCTTGGAATGACGAGCGGTGAGCTGTGGATGCGAGGGAATGCGCTAAAGACGAGCGGCGATGTGAAGGCCTCGGTCGGTCGCCTCGCACACGATGCTGCGGTTGAGTCGCGGCCGATGAGCGTGAGACGAAAAATGAATGAAGTGCAGCCGAACACCGAAGGTACGTCGGCCAGGAGCAGATGGGATAAAGCTAGTCGTGCTCGTCGAAGTGAGTACAGGAGCAGCATCCAATCTCGCGCCATGCACTCACCGGAGCACGTGGGTACGAGAGTGTCCGGGGTCATCCTCCTTCCTATCCGGGCAACTTGTATACACAAACACGCACCTCTGACTCCCGTCGTTCGCGTGCGGTGCATGTGCTCGCTTTCTCCATGTTTCCCTGCATCTATACGCAGTGCGAATAGGGGAAATATATACTCCGGTCTGATAAGTGTGAGTATGCTTCTGAACATGCTCATTGCTCGGCATCTTCGAGTTTGTTCTTGCAACTTGTAGTTAGTGTTGTTCAGGGCCCGGCTCGGGCCCAAAGCCCTACTTTGGGACGCACTTGCGGCCACCGGGCCTGGCTTTATAGTCAATCCAAGCCTGCACACTAGGCTCCGTGGTCTCTTGAAGATCTTTCGAGAACTTGTGTTGAGCTATATGTGCCCCAGCCAGGCAGGGTTCGGCGGGCTTGGGCACCAGCCCGCGAGCTTGTAGGTACGTACATGAGTTAGATGCGTCTGCTGCGGGAATTTCCTGATACAATTATGGGAGCCCTCACTCCCTCCCCTCTACTATACTCCTTTACACCTGTGCGAGCGAGCTTTTCGGACGAAGCTGCTACGACCCGGTCCCTGACTGATAGCAGACGTGTCGGCTCCCGCCTCACGCTCGCTCATTTTGATGTTCCGTCAATCCGCATGATGTGAACATACTCACTCGGTAACATGGCTCTACGTCATCATACGCTTGGCTGAACGGCGAATTCGAATCTGTGCCCTTTGGGAGACATGACAAGGGCGACGCGATCACGTGCGACGCGTCGACACACATTATTGCGACGCGTCGCGTGTATATTCCTGTCGTTTACACCCTAGTAGCAAATATCAGCTGGGTTCAGCGTTACCTTGCTTTCAAAGCAAAGCAAAGTAATACATGCTACTTGTGTCTGCTATCGCATTCTCTGCTTCCGAACGCCAACCCTTCTCTAGACTAGTACAGGTTGCCTATACGTGGACAAGGTTCGGCAGCACTTGTGATAGGTGTTCTATTGTTGAGCGCTCAGATGGCTGTGGCTTCTCTCCTACGTGATATCCGGGCGTGCGCATTCGGTTCTGGCGATGCTTCGAGCGGGACGTATGCGTGATGCACGATAAGAATAGCATACATTTGCGCGGGACGCCCACTAACGGCCCTGCACCGCATCGACTGCGAGATCGTAATCCGCATCTCTGGTACTTTGGGCATCTACCCTGCGCTCCGTTTTCCCCCGGCTAATTGGGTACTTCCCCATCTTGGGCCACACCGTACGTGCTCATAAAGCATTTGCTGTGGCACTTAGCGCTCACGATGAGACTGATATTGGGCATGGGCGTGACTGCCGCGCTGGCCGATGTTGCGTTGCATTTCGGGACACGATCTACCCGGACACTCTGATACTGAAGTCGCACAGGTCAAATCGATCCCGGCGACCGCGGTGGACGGGAACGTTGGCCTCACTGGTAGCGCCGATGAGCGTGGCGTGCGCGGCACCGGTTCTACAGTTGTATACCCCTCGCTTAGGCATGATTTGCAGGCCATGTGCGGACCCACATCATGCTGCCGTCGACCATCTGCGGCCAGGCAATTGGGTCCCGTATTCGATGCGGGTGTTTCGAATCCACTCCCGTTTTAAAATCCGAGCCTCATCCGTGCGTCGCTCGACCACAAGCAGGGCGGCGTCTTTGGGCTTGGAAATCCATACTGGCCGGATGCTCACATCCATGACTGCAGGCTACCGGACGCCCAATCTTGAAAAGCTGACTACAAGCTCTCGCAGTGGCGGGCCTATACACCGTCCTTTTCGAGGCGTGCCCGCCATTCTGGCCGAAGGAGAAGCCTTGCCAGCAATGACCGACGCTTTCCGGGATTGCCGTAATTGCGTGGTACGATGTCGGCAAGGCGATCTCGAAGGCGCTGGTCGACCTCGGGATTGACAGCACGGACGAACCGACGAGTTTGACGGACGAGGAGCTCACGGGGTACGGGAACTTAGTGGCGAGTCTCTGCAACATCTGCCGTCTGTAGTACAGACTGGTTAGACGCATTATCGCGCAGGATGCGTTCCGCAGACCACGCAGTATTAGACTACATATAGGGGGCGCATTGACCTGCAAGCGTCACGATTTCGGGACATGCACTACCGTAGAAAATACACATCTCGATGTCATCCTGACCACGTTTTGGCGCTGCGGATGACCCGGCATGGTTGTTGTATGGCACCGTCCAAAACGGTTGCGCTATCACCTTGATGCATATACTGAGGTCAGCGATATGCTTTCTCTCGTCGACTCCGAATTGCCCGACGATAGGACGAGACGTCTGGGCTCAGTGGGTCATTCACTAGCAGGTGAGTCGCCCAAGCCGCATGTCAATGAACGCTTACGCTCGGACAAAATCGGTGCACTTCATAGCGCAGTGGGATAGTATATATATATGGGGACCACTAGTAGCAGTCATAAGATATTCGGAGGCAACGAGATCCAAGTAATAAAATAGCACAACCAGCAGCGTCCAGAATTACAGATAGTGTCCAGAATAGATGACAAGCAGTAGAGTGACGTAGCATGACATGAAGAGCGTATAACGTCCAAAATCTCGATGCCAAGCCACAGATTGGAACAGGATGGCCATACCGTACCGACGCCCTTAGGCTGCACCTACTTCGTCTTCGTCTTCGCCGCCGTCTTTGCCTTCGTGCTTGACTTCGTCGCTGCCTTAGTGTTCGACGTAGTCCGTGAGGTTGATTGGCCCGTCGCAGCTTGTGTTGTGGTAGTCAGAGTTGATGACGATGACGCGGTCTTGCGCGTCGTGCCCTTCTGCACATTGGACTCTGACCCATATCGGACGGGAGGAGCACGCTTGCGCTGCGGACGAGTAGAGCGTCCTTCGACAAGGGGCTCTGTCGAGATGTGAGGGACAGATGAACCGGTAGCTTTGTCAACGGATCGTCCAGCGTCAGGGTCTTCGACAACTACGTCTTGTGCACCACCCTTGGCAGTCGCCTGTGCGGCCGTGGTTCCGTTACTGGCCACTCGAGCTGGATCTTCGGCGACAGATCCCTGATCAGATTCATCTGAATTATGTTCTATGTCAGCGTCATCATCGAAGGCATTGTCGTTGGTCATACTGTGCTGACCTTGGGCAATCTCGAATGGATTCTCGAACTCTTGTCGTGGATCCTTGCGCAGGATGTCGATCTCAATGTCCTCTTCCTGCAGATCGCCGAGAAAATCCGCGAACCATGTTATGAAGACATTGTCGAGAAGGTCCTGTCCGACTGTGTGATGGATTGAGTCAAGCTGCTGTTCAGCCTCTAAATAACAATTGACCAGTTCCTCCTTGATCTCGATAAGCCCACCAGCAATCTTCCGCACGGCAGCGTGTAAGTGGGTGATTTTCTTCGCCAGGGCAGTCTCATGCGCTAAAGCTTTTAGTCTGCCGCGCGACGACGTGGTCAACAACTCAGCGTATTTTTTCTGAGCGTCGTAGCTTCCACGCTGCGACGTATCCATGGATGGGGGTTTGCCACCAACCTTGACCACCGATTTGTTGAAGACAAAATATATCGCCACCCACCAAATGGATTCCAGGTCATGGAGTGGATTGTACCGGAAGGGCGTTGTGGGGATACGATGACTGACCGGCTTGACGATATTTTCTCGTTTTCCACCCTTCACGGAAGTGACCCTAGCAAGGCGTGAAGCAGCTGGTTTCGGAGGTCGCTTGCGGCGTCCGGCATGTGCCATTTGCTGTTTTGACGAGGTAAACCAGTAGTCCAAATCGTAGACTTCGACTGCCATGAAGGATCTAGTGCCCTGTTCACGGGAGACGCAAATTAGCAATAAAAACAATAAATGTCATTTGACACGCACGGTTCGTATTTCGTGACCCAAAAGATCATCCATCAACTTTGCATATTCGAGATCTGACAGCTTGCAACGCACCACTCCATCCACCGTGATGCCAAGAAGGTTGCTTGTGCTGATGTCACGATGTACCCATCCAAGCTCATGCAAAGCGGCCAGCCCTAAGGGGAAGGCGACCACGCCATGAGTTCCGAAACCAAGTGCGATAACATATCATGGGCTTACCAAGTAAACCACTTATCAGAATATCGAAGACGTCCTTAAGCGAGGTGTATTCACGAAGCGGCTTGCATACCTCTTTGAACACGATACGGTAATGGACCTTTGCATGGTATGTATAGATCTTCTGTGCGGAGGCCGTCCTCAGCTCTGCTGAAGTCTGGTAGTGGCCCACGCCTGCTTGTTTGCTCGACTGGGCTGGGGTCTCTATAACCCCATCCTCCGGAATCTGCTGGAGTTTGAAACCGATATGGATGGGCGGTACACCGTTGCGCGTCATGAGACTGCGGGTATGATCGAGCATACCCTCTACGTAGACATCTCCGTGATGTTCCACAGTGAGTAGCGATTGGTCGATAATGTCTCTTGTTGCATCATCTGTTTTCGTGTTCCGGAGCTTGTGAATGATCATGCCTTCTCGTTGTCGATCGGCATCAATGTACTGGTCTTTGAGAGCGAAGCGATCGACACCTTCCTTGTTCTTGTCGAATATGCACACCTCCCAGACACGCGTACCCCTGCTTCGCAGATCATTTGCGCCATCGTCTGATAACCATCTTATCGTCCGATATCGTACGACTGTTCCATCTTGATCTCGGACATCGATGTCGAGCCGGGGTTTATCCTCTTTGTCCAGTTCAAGCTCGTCGTTCTTCCCGTTCTTCTTGCGCACGTATCGCATTGTGGGATCCCAGCCCGCCTCATGCTCATCCGCATACATCATTGCGACGAAGAAATGAGCGACCTTGTGATGTTCCTAAACAGATTACTGTGAGCAGGAGACACGAAGAATACGATGAAGGCACAGCTTACCGACATGAAATCAATCGGTTTACTGACAAGCAGCTCTGTGCGGCTGCCGAACCACATCCGCATCGTCCTATTTTCAATCGTGAGTCCATAGGTGAACCGACGTCTCGCATCCTCCCGCATACAGTGATGCATGCTCCAGATTACCTTTCGAACATCCTGCCACAGCTATCAGCCAAGTATATATGTATAAAATGAGATGCGCTTACATCATCCTTAGTTTTAACGTTCTCTTCTTTCTTGTATTCAGCGGAAAGCGCGATGTCCATCCATCGCAGGCTACGCTTATACCGTGACTTGAGCATGAAACATCCATCCGGGCGACTTTTCGACGTCCTCGTCTTGGACTCGGGCGCTTTGTCTGGGTTCTGGGCAAATTGGAGTAGCTGTTTCTTGCGTGTCATCGTGCTTGCGACCTTCGCGATGGCTGCTGCCACAGTTTCGAGAGGATTGAAGCAGGCGTCCTCGTTCCCGCGGATATTTTTTGGATCCTTTTGGAATGCCACCCAACGGTTTCCTTTGATATCTTTTTTGTGGAGTTCGTTGACTAACTGGTTGATGTCAACGCCTACGGGAAGCCGAGGAAGGAGGTATGTCTGGAAGAAGTCAGCGTCGACCTCCGGTGCGGTCGTCCCAAGATCTTTCATCACAGCTTTGCGAGCTGCATCGAGGTTGCCTTCCATGTAAGACGCGCTTTGAACAGCCTTGACGCGGACCGGCGTTTCGCTCGGGTTAGCAGACGGGTTGGCCTTGGAGGCACCAGAGGATGGCTCACCCTCCATGTTGGTTGGTGGTCCTCGAACGATGTATCTTGCTGCATTTTATATGACCAGGAGATGTGATCAGGAAATCCAACTTCGACACTGTGTTTAATTTCCGTGAGCTGCGAAACACGCGGAGAAGAGCCGTCAGCGATGTGGCTGGAAGGACAAAGGATTAGAGAGCTATACACTCAGGTGAAAGTGAGAAACGTGGTTAGTCCCTGCCTTGGAGGAGACAATGCTTACCTGCTGTGAAGTTTGTGAGCCGCCCGGTGCTAGCACCTGTGGATCGTGCCTTCGTTCAGGTGCGTGGTCACTGACTGAATGACGGTGGCTCAAGGGCTCAAATCACAGACGCGTGTTTGGTTGATTGGCTGAATAGTGGCGATGACAGCAAGACCAGATGAATATAGCCAAGTGGCACAGATTCCAAGATGATCTCCGGCGCCCGCATGCGGCAGCCACAGACGCGTTCATCACGTGGAAGGTTGGCACAAGTCACACGCCACACTTCCACCGCAGAAAGAAGTTGAGGTTCCTAAGTATCTACAAACAGCATTCTTCTTGCCTTGTAAAGTACGATCACGTATTTTACATCAGACATAAGCCTTTTCACTGTACACTTTGACTTATGATTGCGGCTATTGATTAGTGATCTTCTGCCTTCAAAGGAGGCCGGTATTGCTTCCCAACTTCCTGTACGACAAACCGCATTGACGTGCCACCACCGAGCGATCAAGCCATTGGAGAGGACTCGCACGCCCACACATGCATGTACTAACTCATTAACTGATTGCTCCACTGCAGCTCGTCTGCTGCACTACCCCCGCCGATATTGACGTTGTATGCCTTCATGTGTGCGGATTCCATCAGCACGAAGGTATGCGTGGCGAGACCATTCATTGGTGAGGCTCTTGCTGTCATCCGTTTTGGGCTCGACGCGAAGAGTCATAGAATCGTCGTTGTGGATGAACATATTCGCGCGGCACAGCAGTGGGGCGGTGATTCTTTGTTTTGATCCTTTATTCTGGGCCGTCTTACTCGACAGTGGCGTGATATCCTTAGTGGTAAGTAAGGAAGAAGAATAGGGCGGGTATACAATTTACAGGGTCGCTCATATCGACCCGTAGCATACATGGATCA